TTTCCTTATCCTTTTCCTTTTCCCTCTTTCCTTATCCTTTTCCTTTTCCCTCTTTCCTTATTCTTTTCTTTTTCCCTTTTCCTTTTTCTTTTCCTTTTCCTTTTCCTTTTCCTCTTTCCTTATCCTTTTCCTTTTCCCTCTTTCCTTATCCTTTTCCTTTTCCCTCTTTCTTATCCTTTTCCTTTTCCCTCTTTCCTTATCCTTTTCCTTTTCCTCTTTCCTTATCCTTTTTCCTTTTCCCTCTTTCCTTATCCTTTTTCCTTTTCCTCTTTCCTTATCCTTTTTCCTTTTCCCTCTTTCCTTATCCTTTTTCCTTTTCCCTCTTTCCTTATCCTTTTTCCTTTCCCTCTTTCCTTATCCTTTTCCTTTCCCTCTTTCCTTATCCTTTTCCTTTCCCTCTTTCCTTATCCTTTTCCTTTTCCCTCTTTCCTTATCCTTTTCCCTTCCCTCTTTCCTTATCCTTTTTCCCTTCCCTCTTTCCTTATCCTTTTTCCCTTCCCTCTTTCCTTATCCTTTTTCCCTTCCCTCTTTCCTTATCCTTTTTCCCTTCCCTCTTTCCTTATCCTTTTCCTTCCCTCTTTCCTTATCCTTTTCCCCTTCCTCTTTCCCTATCCTTTTTCTTTTCCCTCTTCCTTTCCCTTTTCCTTCCCTCTTTCCTTATCCTTTTCCTTTTCCTCTTTCTCCTTTATCCTTTTCCTTTCCTCTTTCCTTATCCTTTTTCCTTTTCCCTCTTTCCTTATCCTTTTTCCTTTTCCCTCTTTCCTTATCCTTTTTCCTTTTCCCTCTTTCCTTATCCTTTTTCCTTTTCCCTCTTTCCTTATCCTTTTTCCTTTTCCCTCTTTCCTTATCCTTTTTCCTTTTCCCTCTTTCCTTATCCTTTTTCCCTTCCCTCTTTCCTTATCCTTTTTCCTCTTTTCCCCTTTTTTCCTTTTCCCCTTTTTTCCTTCTCTTTTCCTTTCCTTATCCCATTTCCTCTTTCCTTTCCCTTTCTTTTTCCTTTCCTTTCCCTTCTTTTTTCTTTTTCTTTTTCTTTTTCTTTTTCCTTTTTTCTTTTTTTTTTTTTTTTTTTTTTTTTTTTTTTTTTTTTTCTTTTTTTCTTTTTTCTTTTTTTTCTTTTTCCTTTTTTCTTTCTTTTTTTTCTTTTTTCCTCCTCAAATATTCAACATTCAACTGATGTCAGAAGAGTAAAATAATGAGAAAGCAAATCCAGATTAGTTATTCAACTCATTCCTATTCTTTTAGAGTTAAGAATCCTTAGTAATAAGAGCATTTCCCTCTTGTTTATCATTTATTATTTAGGTTTGAATGATTGCCAATCTCTATCTAGTTATCATTCTTTCTCTTTTCATCTTCTCAATTCTTATTTACATGCTGTTGCTTTCTCACTGGGTTCCAAAAAAAAAATAAAAAAAAATTTCTCCAGTGGGAAGAAACAGTGCATGTCCTAAAATTGTCTTTATTTGAAGTTTTACTCAATGGTGCAACAAGAGTAATCCTAATTTTCTTTCACATTTTATTTGAAAAGCCATTTTCTTGATGTACTCATTTCTTTCTCAAGTCTTTCTTATATAAAAGATAGCACAAACCTAATTTTTCTTTTCATTTAGCATTGAATTTTTTGCATGACAAAAAACAAAAAAATATTTTGCCCCCAAAATTGAAGAGCAAATTGTTCAATAAACAAACAAATTATTTGGAAAAATAGAATGGTTAACTGGAAATCCTGTGTGCTATACACTAAACTTGAATGAAAACATACAACAAATAGAAGGCTAAATGTCAGGGATATTTGTTATTGACAAAACATGTAAAATATTTTATGATTATTTTCAAAAGTTAGCCACCATATTGAAGGTGAGATTATTATTATACAGTAGAGCTCTCCACCACAGTTTTTATATATGTGCACTTTTGTAGAAGTAATATACTTTATTAAGGAGTAGCTTCTCTTCCTTGATCACTGAAGATTAGATCTTTGATTCTCTCATCCAAAGCTGTAACATCTAAGCTGTATATATAAAAAGGTTTTGTTTCAGGCACATATCACCTCATCTTCATGTTGGCCTGGCATTTGTTAACAAAATTGCATCATGTAAGCCACTGTCTACTTTCTTTGCTTACATGTCACTTCTTTAGAATTATTCTCTTAGCTTTTGAATATTCTTCACAAGAAAGTTCAGTGGAATCAGTTACACAATAAAAAGATTGGAATGCAGTAAGTTTAGATGCGTTTTTACATTTTGGAATTAAGCGTTTGATGTTTTGAACAGGAACACATGGGTAAATGTAGTTTCAGATTATTTGCAAGGTGTGTATCTATGAGAATATGCATTTAGTTTTTTTTTAAAGTTTTCATTTTTTTTTTTTTTTTTTTTTTTTTTTGCTTTTGTCACTTGGAATTGATTTAAATGAAATGAAGAATGCTTGTTGTATCTTTTGAGGCATGTTGATGTCACTGACAAATGAGTATAAGAGTAGAGACACTCAGTTTGCCTGTCGAAGATTTTGGCTTTTTACTTATGTAAAATCACATTGCATCTAGCCATCTATTTGATCTCTCCACTACTTAAGAAATACAATCTTTTATGCACACACAGGGAAATATTTTATCCTTTGTCAGAAATCCTACAAAGAGAATTGAACTTTGAAAGATTGATAAGGACTTGTTATACTAATGAATTTCTGACCACGTATACTTGTGTGCATATTATATAAATACATGGCTTGTATACATGTATACGCACACATATTTCTCCACTGGCATATGTTTCATTTGTTGTATGTGTAAAAGTAGAATATATGACATAAAGTTTGCTTTTGTAAGGCTGATTCTAAAAAGCTATTTATTTACCTTAAGTTTTAATCTAAAAGCATTTCATTTGAATAAGTAAATTCAAATAACTATGCACCCCCAGATTTCTTGATTTTCTGTCATCTACTTTTATATGGACATATATGTAAAACTCTTTAATAGAGACAAAATTCATATTGTTTTGTTACTGGTGGTAAAAATTCATCTTTAAACAGTAATATGTGCATCTTTTCCAGTATACTTAATAACTTTTTAGTTCATAACATCAAAATAGATATGTAGCCTATGGCAGACTTGTGATAGTTATTGTCTCTCTTTTTTGACACTTACTCCTGTACATAATAAAATCCATATACTCATATTCAATTCATACCATAAATAAAGTTTCCATATATCGATAATACTTAACCAAAATGATAGGAAATAATCTAGTTTCATATGTCATAGGAACCAATATAATGATGTTGATTTAAAGGATATAGGGATTTTTGTAAATTTTGGTTTGTTTATCTGATTAAGCTTTTTTTTTACTGATGTTTTATTCAACTGTACAATTCTTTTTTTCATATTTTACTTTGGTCTAATTGTTTAAAATGGCTAAGAAATGTTTAGATGTTATCATTTTGTGAATTTTTGTTCAAGATGCTGCCCAACTAATCATTGTCTTTACTATCAGTTTGTCAATCTTTATCACCTAACCCAGGAAAGTACAATATTATTTGAAATGATTGCAAAAGGCAACCAACAAATAATGCCATTGCTATTACCATGATGCTTAATTTCATGCAAACTTAGTAACTGTTGAATTGTTTGATTGTTTTACACACACTCTTTGATTTTTACCAGAAGGATTTATTGTATATACCAACTTGTGTTTTGTTGGTGTGATGTTCTCTATGATGCTTTGTCTAAATGAAGGGAAGAAGGAAGATTGATTTTTTTTTTTTTAATTTTTATTTTTTTATTTTATTTTTTTATTTTATTTTATTTTATTTTTTTTATTTGGTATTTCTGGTGGTAGGGGATTTGCTGAATAATTTTTGGAGGGAGGGGATCCTTTTTTATGTATGAGTTTATATAAGTTTTGTGTCTCATTATTTACATATCTCTTTATTTCCTCTCATGACCTTTGTATATCAGCATGTATTTTGTGTTTCTTTCTATCCAGCTTGACTCAGGTTGTCCCCCTTTTGGGGCTTGTAAGAAACACACACACGAAAAAATTAATAAAAAAAGATAGCATTTTCTGATTTTCCTTTTTTTTTCTTTTTCTTTTTCTTTTTTTTTTTTTTTTTTTTGGTCACTGCTTAATGCTTCCTAATTAATTAGTCATTAGCTCTCCCTCCAACTTCCTGTTTCATCTTGGCACCCCCCTCTTCTATGTGATCACTTTCCTTCTTATCCAATCATGATCTATGTCTTCTTCTTCTTCATTAAGACCATACATGCATGTGTTGTTTGTCAGACAACTATCAGAAGTATGTAATTCCTAATTCAATTGAATTTTGTTGCATAAATCCAATATTTGAATGTTAAGAACTGCCCACAGCATGTGCATTTTACCACATCCTCCTTCCTGCCCCACCATCAGCCATGCACCCCCCTGCCCGCCACCCAATGACCCCCCCCTCACTTACCCTCATACTTGTTGCTGCTACTGCTGCTACCAGCCTATTCTTAGCCTGACTTATACTCATATAACCTCCATGATTACTACAGTTTCAATTTAATATTCACATATCTGCTAGGATGCATCCGTAGACTTTCATTTAATTATTTCATGCAAACTCTGCCTCTTCTTCTTTCCTCCTCCTCCTCCTTTCTCATTGTCTTATCTTTGCCTGTCTCGCTCTGTCTTTTAAAAATCTATTTTTTTTAATTTAAAAAAAAAATAAATTTTTAAAAAATTCTTTATTTAATTCTATTTACCATTTTTGTAATTCAGTATGAGTGTGTGTGTAGATTCATATGTGCTGTCACAACTTTATTCCATTTCATTTCACTTGTGTGTGTTTGAGAGAGTGCATTTCTTTTTATTTCTTGTTTTGACTTTCTTGTTGTGTAAAACTGAATTTGCTGCAAGAAGGAAACCATTGCATGCCTTATTGTTAATCTGAAGTATCATCCTCGACGGTTTAGTCACTTTCGTGCCCTCGTGTAGAGAAAATTACCACATACACCACTGTCTTATAGCATAAGGTATATTTAATAAAGAATTACTAAACTTTTTTTTCTCCTTCTTACAATTATACCTTCCAGCTTTAAAGTTTAATAAATAAATATAATTTTTCAAAAATGTTTAAAAAATACTAAAAAATTCAACCCAAATTTGTCGGAACCTGAAGTGTCTCTGTAATTCTATTACAAAAACCTGATTCGCATGAAGTCATTATCTTTGGAGATATGCTAAGAGCTTTTCAGGTAGATTTTTCTCAAGAAATTAATAAATTGGCTAGTGAATCACTGTAGTGGCAGCAAAAGAGTAGCAGGAGGAGAATTTACTATCCTCCCATCTAATTAAGCTCTGTGAATATTTTACATGTAGAAATATTCACATAGCTACAGTATATAAATGGCTTTACCATATTAATATTTTGCATCAACCTTTTTTAGAATAAGAAAGAAAATGCAAGAACAATAATAAGTAAATAATTTTTAATTATCTTTTTTCTACCTTCATGATTACCTATTATTTTATAATCAAATAAAGAAAAAAATACTTTCTGATTATCCTAGTAGATGCAGCTTTGTGTATGTTTCTTGTTAGTTTTACATTTTTATAAGAAGTAACAATATTGTGTGGACATCTGTAATGAGCTTACTAATCAGTGGCTTTTTATATTACCTTGTCACTTTTTGGTAGCATTTGGTAACTTTTTCCAATTAATGAAGACAATCTTTTCATTAACTACATAGTATGTGCTTTGCCAGAGTTTTGAATTCAGAGTTGTCCTCCTCCTCCTCCTAGACTGGTTTCCATCCAAGATTGATGAACTCAGTCTGCCTATAACTGGTGGGTAGGATTCATACCCTTTCCCAAGGGTATCTGTGTATAAGTGAGCTCAACTGGAATTTAAACTCACCTCTCTGATTTCTCATTTTGAGCCACTATCCATTACACCATCTGTATGGCCATATACTTGAATAATTTATGATTTAAAAAAAAATTATTGGATATGTGATTCAAGACACTGGAAACATAGCATGGTCATTGTTTATACTTGTTGAATTTGAAGTTTATTTAAAATGTAGGTTTCCCAAAGTTGCTTTCAACCGGTTGACTTGGGAAAGTTTACAGTGTTATTTGTATAGAGTTAACAAATCATACTTTTCTAATGATTTATTTTATGTGTGGGTGGTGTAATGGTTATTGATTCGGAACAAGAAATCAAAGTAGAGTTCAAATTCCTCTCTGGTTCATTACATATGCACAAATCCCCTTGGGAAATGTAGGAATCCATCTCTCCTTCACCTAAGAGTTAAATAGTAGGATTTGTATCTGGAAAAAATCATTATTCTCAAAAAATTATTAATGCAATATTCACTCGTAAAAAGAAAAAAAAAAAAAAAAAATATTCTTATAATCCAAAATGTTTTGTCTTTAACCTACAAAGGGTCGACAAACTTTAAAAGACAAATCAAATCTAAATTTAATTATTTACTATGGGAAATATTTCCAAGAATGGTTTCAAAAATGTGTTAGAATTTAACCCTAAACGTGTGTCATAACCTTATAATTACTATTATTGTGTCTTGTAACCTTATCCAGATCCTGGACCAATTTGGACCATTGAAATTCTTCAGTAATATAGGCACTGCATTTCTTTCTGGGTGCCACCATTTTTTTTTTTTTTTTAATGAGGTGCTATATAAATCATGTTTACCTGTAGTAGGTGTAAATATTGCAACTTTTTGAAAATATGTACATTTAATATTTGTTACCAGGTCAGAGTAATGGCATTCTTTTTCATTAAACTATAAAAACCTCTCTATGTGTGGTATTGCATCAATGAAATATTTCAAAAGTCAAAAAAATCTCATGGTTCTAAATTTTTAATGTCAAGAAAAACAAAACAAAAAAAAACATCTAACCATGAAATCTCAATCCAATTTTTCTTGTCAAATCCAGTGACTTGTTTTCAAATTTGGATGTCGAAACATTTCCATGAGAACATTTCATAAACACTTAAGATCTTAGAATCTGATCTGTGGCATGGATAGCTTAAATACTGAGATATGTACAAAAGTTTTATTCCATCTGATAATATAAAATATCCTTTTACTTTTTCTTAACTTAATATAATCTTTGTATAGACTTTCCTTTCTATCTATATTGATTCAATTTCTTTGGATAGACTCTTAAAGATAAATATCAGTATGCTTTGTTAGTCAAACTTTATACAATAAGACACACTAAGAAAAGCAGAACTGATATTCCATTAAAGCACTTCCAGTTTCAGGAGTAATAACTTTGATTCTGGTTTTTATTGGTACATCTACACTACCAATAGTTATCAATAAGATCTGGTACATTTTTTAAGTTATAAGAAAACACTTTAAAATTTCTTCATTTTTTTTTTTTTTTCAACATAGTAATATCTTTAATGTTATGTAAATGTTTAAAAGCTTATTTATTTACATAAAAAAATTAAAAGCCACTTGTCTTTGATCAGTGACAATAAAATAGTTTGATTGATTTGTTTTTATGGCTTATCAACCTTCTGCAGGTTATTTAAAGCCAAAAAATATTTTCAGATTGTAAGAATTTTATTTTATTTTATTTTTTTATTTATTTTTTTTTTTTTTGAGATAATAATTATTTTAGTGATACAAGTCTTACTAATTAACCCATGGCAGGGGTGAGGAGAGATGGATTCATATCTTTCCCAAAGGTATTTGCATGTAAGTGAATATAAGGAACCCAATTGGAACTCAGTTCTGATTAACAATTCCTAGCAATTGCATTATGCCATCTACTCATCCAAACTTACAATACCTGGTATTCCCAAGTGGTCACCCATCTAGGTACTGTCTAGGCTTAATGTTGCTTAACTTGGTGATCATATGGGAACTGGTATTTCAACTTGAAAGCCTGATAAAATAGCGATCTAGATTGTATTATTGAATTTCCCTTATTTGACAACTTGTTAATCCAAGCTTTTTTGCTTAAGAAATGGTCATTTAACTGAATTGTTAAAGATTTGGATTGTTACTGAGGTATTTATTATTATTACTACTTATTATGACTGGTCCACTGCATTTTTTTTCTTCACTTGCTTGAATTACTATTGAAAAAGCAACAACAATGTTTCCCAATCATTGGGAAATGTAGAAAAAGAGGTTATCACCCTTGATTGTGTGACTTGAAGGTTTGTTGGATGTTTTGAGTATCAAATGCCAAATCTAAGCAAACCTACAAAGCACAAGAAAATCTTCCACACTGCATTTAATTTTCAAATCCGCCCCCCCCTCTATTCTTTTTTTTTTTTTTTTTTTTTTTTTTTTTTTTTTTTTTAAATCATAGACACTATGGTTTCCATTCTCCTATAAATTGGTTTTTATTTTTAAATTCATTTTATTAAGGTAAAGCATGTGTGTGGCGGGGCGAGGGGGGGACTGTTTGCTTACATTTACCGTGCAAACTGTTTTCTCCTTCTGTAAAAACAAAAAGAAAGGAAGAAAATAACAAAAGTCGAAATAAACGGCTTTCTTTACGATTTCCCTCCATTTTATATTTCTATTCAGAATGGTTTAAAAAAAAAAAAAAAAAGCATTAAACTTTTCTGCAGTAATTTTCTTCTGTTTTTTTCCTTTTCATACAACTACAAAGGATAAAAGGTTTTAGTAGATTTTGTTTTTTTTTTTTCTTTTTTGTAGGAATCTCTCTCTCCTTCTGTCCTCTTCCATCTCATTTCACTTATTTTTTTGTTTTTTCTCCCATTCTTTTATACCTTTTCTTTTTCTCCAGTTGCCACCCTCTCTTCTTAAGTACTGTCTCTCTCAATGACTAAAACACTCTTGATTTGATTGTAATTTCCCTCGGTCTGTATATTACTTTGCATCTCCCTCTTAAATTTTATAATTTTTTAAGTGTTTGTCAAGTGTTTATGGCAAAATGCAGTTCTCACAGGGAACATAAATCTTCATCAAGCACTGATAATGAAAGTGAAAGCACATTTTAAAAAAGAAAAAGAGGAGGAGTCAGTTGATTGAGAAAGAAATAGATTAAGTAACAAGCTGCAAGTATATTTTGCCAAGTTCAACACACAAAGACCTATTTTTTTTTTTCTCTTTGCAAAATTTTTTTTTTTTTTTTTCTCTTTGCAAAATTTTTTTATTTATTTTAAAGATTTATCTGTTTGAAATTTTTTCTTTCTCTTTGTGACCAAAGTGCCAATAAAATCATCTACTGTCCATACCTCAGAAATTGTGCCTCTGAGGGTGAGGGGTGCATTAAAAAAGTAGAAGAAAAAAACAGTTTTGCTGGTAAAGAAAAATCTAAACTTTACTCTTGATGATATACACACACACACACACACACACACACACACACACACACACACACACACACACACACACACACACGTATATATAATTATGAAAAAAAAAAAAAAAAAGATAAGCAAATGCAGAAAAATTAAGAGAACAAAAGGATCATTCCATTATAGAGAAACAGATTTTTGAAAAAAAAATTATGAATTCAGTGGATAAAATTGTCGAGAATCAGAAGTGGGAAGAAAAAAAATGTAAAATTGAAAGTTTGTTAAAAAAAAAAAAATAGGGAAAAAAAGGAAATTTTCTAAAATAGAAAATTTTCATTGTTGGCAACTCTGGTGTCTGACTCTAGAAGCATTTCAAAATCATTGCTCTCTGCCTTTTGGGAGGTGCTTTTAAAAAGGAGGAAAATTGTTAATTGTCTTTTTATTTTAATAATGTTTTTTTTATTACATCTTCATTCAGTTTTCCTTTTTGTGTACGTCTAAGATCTTTTCTCACATCTTTTATCTTCATTCTATGTTTTGTTTTATTCTCACCTCGTATTTTTTAAATATGCAAATGAAGTGTGTTAACCATCACCACAACATTAACTCATAAATGTTTGTTACATGTTCTTATCAAGAGGTTTTGTTTAGCCACCAATGATTGAAGTCTGTTTATTATAAAGAATTCACACACATTGCCCATAAAGAGGTGGGAGTGTAGAAGGTCATTTACTATTTATATTATCCCCAAAGAAAAAAAAATACAAACTTTTCAAATGGAAAAAAAAAAAAAAAAAAAAAACAATTGGGAAACAGAGAGGGAACAATTATGTGCTGTTCTACACCTATGAAGATATTTCATTCATTGTACTTTTTTTTTTATGAAGATAAAATACTAGAAATTTAAAAAGCTTGTTATAAAATCCCTAAGAATCAAAGCCATTTTTCATGAGTGAAATGCAAAACAAAGAGTCAAGCTTTCTTTCTCCTCATTTCATCATTCCACTTCATCGCATCTTGCTTTTATTTTGCCGTTCTCTTTACTCTGAAGAATCAAAATGATTCCTCATAAAAAAAAAAGGTTGCATCTTATTTAGTTGAAATTTGAAACTCTCTTGGCATTTTAGCAATGTTTCTCTATCTTTCTCAGAATGGGCAAACTGGTGGTTTATACTAATTGATATTTATAATCATGATGCTTGTTAACTTTACACACCTACTGTGGGGTACTAAAATGTCTTGGCCAAAACCCACTTCCAAAATCGGTATTTCAATGACTAAGCAAGAATACTGATTATGGAACTTTTCAGCATACTCAACGACTTGTGCTAGAATTAAAAATGCTTGTTTTTTTTGGGTTTTTTTGGGTTTTTTTTTTTTGTTCAAAACAACATGGTTCAATACATGAAAAACCCAATAACTGACCTGGATTAGATAGACCTGCTTTTAGAGTCAAAGGTGAACTAATATCTTCTCCATTTTCCTTTTTAAATGTAACTCATTAAGTAATCAGTCTGTTTTTTTAGATAACTAAAGGCTTCCTCTGTCGCATGATTTAAAATTGACAGAGCTAAAAGGTCTGCAAATAGAAACCTCATGAATTGATAATACTCTTATAGATTGGTAGATATTTAAGAATTTTTGGATTTCAGATGAATAAGTTAAGACTACATGAATCCAAGATCTTTGTTTGGTTGTCATATCACAAATGACTTTGTGATGGAGAGATATTTCATTAGTTTTGTATTAGCAAAGTAGAAAGAGTGGGATATTTCCATAGAGAAAATTTTGTTTTTGTGAAATGGTTGAAAAAGGTTAATTGCAGTTTTCATTAAATGTATAACTACATAAAAGATTAAATATTATTTTCAAAAGTAAAGAGTGATTGACTTTTACTGTATAATTAAAATATAGGAATTTGTTTTCTTGAAATTACAAAATTCACTGGAGCATCTTTACAGGTCTTACTTGTTTACCTTATTTGACTATACTCTTTTATTAATTATAGTTTCCCCTCCATTAACGAGATTAAAATCTTAACAAATTATTGATCCTAAGCTGGAAGAATGAATAATGTTACCTCTTCAACACAGGATTAAATGATAATTGGATGCTTATAAATATATATATATATATATATATATATATATATATATATATATATATATATATATATTCCAATTTCATGTAATCTAGAATGATTCTATAGGTTTTCAGAAAAAGTCACATATATCAACAAGTGAATAGGACCCTTATTTTACTACAATAAAGAAGTACAGGTGGGAGATGTCATTTTCTAATTGTTAGTCAAATCATAAGGATTATTAAATGTTCAAGATGGGTGGCATGAAGATGGCTGTTACTTTGTTTGCTAAGTTGATTTAAATACTGACGGAAGGGTAAACCATTGAAGTGCTCTGAAGATTGTTGAAAGAAGAAAGGAGCAATTTGGGACAAAAATTCTAAAAGAGCTTATACTAATTGGGTAGGTAAATTGAAATACTAAATCAGATCAGTAATTTTATTGATATCACTGGTTTTGTTGATCATTGTTGACATGACATTTTTCCCTTGTCTTTATTTTTTTATTTCATCTGCTCCAGTCTTCTTTTTCACAGAATTTTTTTGTCCTCTCTCCCCCTCTCGTCCTCACTTCCCTATCTCCTTTGTCTTTTCCTCTCTCCCTCCTACTTCCACCTCCTCCTCATCCACTCTCCCCAATCTCACTCTTCGCTCTCTCTCCTTCCCCCTCTCCCCTCCCCTACCTCACTCGTCTCCTTCCCCCCTCTCCCCTCCACTACCTCGCTCGTCTCCTTCCCCCCTCTCCCCTCCACTACCTCGCTCGTCTCCTTCCCCCCTCTCCCTCCACTACCTCGCCTGTCTCCTTCCCCCCCCCCCTCCACTACCTCGCTCGTCTCCTTCCCCCTCCCCTCCACTACCTCGCCGTCTCCTTCCCTCTCCCCTCCCCTACCTCGCTCGTCTCCTTCCCCCTCTCCCCTTCCCTACCTCACTCGTCTCCTTCCCCCTCTCCCTCACCCTCCTTCCCCCCTCGTCTCCTCCTCCCTCTCCACTACCTCACTCGTCTCCTCCTCCCCTACCTCACTCGCCTTCTCCTCATCCTCATTCCAACTCTGTCACTTACCTCACTTGACTCCTCTTTCTCATCCTCTCTATCTGTCTTTCATCTCTTTACTTTTCCTTACAGCCCGCATCTACATCCTTCTCAGCCTCTATTTTATCTTCCCTATCTACCTCTACCCCTTTTCCTCTCTACCTTACCTTACTACTCTTACCCTTTCTTTTCTCACTTACAACAAGCACCCCATCTTTCTCCTCACTTTTTCTAACCTACTTCACAGCCCTCCACCTTATCCTTCTACCATACCACTCCTCAGCCTCCCTACACTACTTCACAGTACTCCACCTTGTCCTTTCCACCTACCTCACTTTCCTTTGCTTTATCCTCACTACTATACCTCACTGCACTCTTTCTTACTTTCTTCCTCATTGTCCTCTCTACTTACCTCACGTTCCTCCTCATCCTTTATATATTACTTCACAGCCCTTTTCTGACTCCCAACTTCCATCTTCCTCAACCTCTCTACCCTCTCAGTGCCATCCACCTTTTCCTCTCTTTCCTACAATGTCACTTTCCTCCTTCTCATCTTTTATACCTTCTCTTGGCCTCGGTAACATACCTCACTTTCCTTCTCATGTTCTCTACACTAACTCCCCCTCTTTTTCACTTTCACATACCTCTTTTTTGTCTATTTTTTTGTTGCATATATATATATATATATATGTGAACTTCCTGTTGTCATATATATATATATATATATATATATATATATAGTCTGTTTATCTCTTTTCTTCATTTTTCATGTTCTTCTCTTTTCCCTCTCCCACTTTCTACTTGAAATTTATTCAAAAATAGTAGCCAATGGAATAAAAAGGCTGATAAATTAATAGGATTTTGCACTTGAGGCAAAACTTGATTATTGTTTCTTTCTTTCCTTTTTTGTTTCTTCTTAATACTATTATTTTGCTCTTCAAATTTATAATTTCATATTTTGGCAGAGGGCAAGAATAGGGGGGGAGTAATGAATGAATTTTCAGGTTATCTTATCTTCATATTCCAACTGCATTGAAAATGTTGCTTTTATATAAAAATTGTTTTTTTTTGTTTTTTTTTTTGTTTTTTTTTTCCTAATTTTTTTTTTTTTTTAGTTGTTGACTTTCTTTCTCTTCCCAAAATGTGAAATGTTTTGGTTTCATAATGCAATCATTTTGAAATAATCTACCCACCGATGCAGAGGAGGTGAGGTTGGTGGGTAGGGAACAGTGAAAGTGGAGTGATAAGGCCGACTGGATGAAAGCCATGCAAAGCCATGCAAAAGCAGTGGGCAGTTTTTAAAGAAAATGGATCTATCTCATCAATTATAGTGTCATTTGTTTCTCTTTCTTTCTCTCCCTCTCATTTCTCCCCCTCTCATTTCTTTAGCTTCAAATATAACTTCATTCTAATCAGCAAAGATGATAGAGATGAGTTCTTCTATTTAGGATTTTGACTTTTGGATTATTTTCAAGCAAATTCTCATTGCTTGTGTTTTCTCTTTTGGAAATTGTTGTTTTAGATAATTATCTGGCAATGTTTACCTTATGGCGTTGTGTTCTTACCTACTTCCTCTCTTCATTGCTGTTCCCTGTTCAGCTGCAAGGTACAAGAGAATAAACCAAACTTGTTGTTGTTGTTTTTCTTCTTTTTTTTTTTTCTACTTTTGAGAAAACTATTTCAAGTAAAATTCCCAAGAAAACCCAGTGCAGAAGAATACACACTTGTGTTTCTTATTAAAAATGAATTAAGCAAAATCAGTATTAATAATATTGATAGCTTTTTGAGATAAAATAATACATTCTCCACTTCCTTCCTTCCACATTCTTTTGTAAGGAATTGGCTGCAGCCCCTGTTTTCCTATTTCCTCTTTCTTTATCTCACCTTTTTGCATTTATCGTTCAATACTGATCCATGTGTTCAAATTAAAGAATTGTTACTTTCTCTTGTCTTGGTCTGATGCCAATTCTAAATAACACCAATGCCATCATTTGTCAGTTATGCAAAGAACAAGATTGTTTTCAGCAAGTTGTTTATTATCATCATCCCATGATGCATGTTACTAATTAGTGCATTTAATGTTTATATGATACTGAACAATTTATTTCCACATCCTCATCTTCTGACCATAGCTGGTACTTTGTGTTGTTTTTATTGCAAAAAAAAAAAGAAAAAATGGAAAAAGAAAATATCCCATTGTTATATAGTGGGGTTCCTTTTACCATCTTTCACTTCAAGCACAACATTCTGTTCTTCAGTTGTAATAAGGAAATTATCTAACTATAGATTTGATTTGAGGGATTCATGTTTTATGGCTTATCAACCCTTTTAAGGTTATTTAAACTTAAATTGTAAGAATTTTTTTCTTTTGAGATAATAGCAATTGTGCATAGGTGAATATAAGGAAACCGACTGGAATTGGAACTCGACTCTTTGATTAACAATTCCAAGCCATTGTCCATTACACCATCTGCACATCCAAGCTTACAGCAATGATATTCTCAAGCGGCCACCCATCTAGGTACTGACCAGGCTCAACATTGCTTAACTTTCTTGATCGTACAGGAACCAGTGTTTTAACATGATGTGACCATAAGCCATATAAATATGTAGCTTATATCTTGTTACATTTTGTTTTTAAGTCTGTTTTCTTGACAGCCTGTTTATTACATCCATCTTGGGATTTTACATTTTTTTTCTATTTTAAAAAAATTGAATTGAAAAATGAAATCCATAAATATTTGGTGGGGAAAGAAAGTGAAAACCAAAATAACTTTGTTGAATATTATATACTTAGGTAGGGAATCATAGAACATCTTTGATTTATGATAAGTTTTATGAAGGGATGATTGAAGCCCTTCCAAACAATCTAATGATCAGATTGTAAGAAGTGGGTCAGGCCAAGAACTTTTCAGCACCCTCTCATAGCAAGCTTCAACCAGAGATCAATTTAAGCAGAAGACTGCATTTGAGTGTAATGAAATTTGCCAGAGTTATGTTCCTTAACAATTCTATATTGCTTGATTTTTAACAATTTTGGAGCAACAAATGATATTTGTTGCATTTGTTTGGTAAAACCTACATTTGTTTCCAAATAGATTTACATAAAATATTATTTGTTAAAAGATCAGTAACTGATACTTTGCAGAAGAAACTAACTTTCTCAAATTTTACACACACACACAATCTTTTTTACAACCTCAACTGCCAAAAATTTATGAAATAGTCCAAACGGAGATGCATTTTGTGGAGAATCTCATACCTGAACATTTTAGTAAACACTCAGTCTCTAAAATTGAGATGTTAAATATAAAATGCATGAAAAATAAGCAAAATTAGAATTTTTAAGAAAGAAAAAAATCCATTTTGACATTTCATTATATTTGCTTTGATGAATCTTTCTTTTTCTTTTTTTTTTTTTTTTTTAATTAAATTTCTGTCAAATTGAAAAATAAAATTCTTCAGGTGGTTTTGATTAATTTGAAGCATTTTTTTCTTTTTTTTTTTTTTTCTTTTGAATTCATTAATTTTTTTTCCCTCTCCTCTTTGAAAATCTGTTCAGGTGATCTAGTTTAGTGTTGAGTCATTTAATATTATGACAATATATAATATTTCCATATTTGATATATGGAAAACATTTGTTAGGACCTGATTCAAATAATGTCTAATTTTGTATCATGTCTAAAATATTTACTATCATGTTTTTCACTTTTTCTTTTAAGTTATCTGTTTATGAACATTATAATATGTGTGAATCTTTCTGAGTCTGTCAAGTATTTGAAATATATATAATGTGTGTGTGTGTTTGCATATCAATTTCTAATGTGGAGTCATTAGGTATGTTGGATGGCGTCAAATAATCATTATATTGGCATAAATATTAAATTCAGTTTCAGTAAATATATTGTAGACAGACATGGGAAGAATGACTTTTCTCATGATAGGTTATTAGACCAGTTGAACAGTATATAGATATTAATGATTTAAGGAAATAGTTTTTGGGTTTGTTTTTTTTTTGTTTTTTAATCGGTATCGCCCCATGCAAGGTTGTAAAGCCACTAAGACACAAGGGGTTATAGGATATGGAAGAATTAGGAACAAAGATTAATAATGTGCAGAAAGAGAAAAGGGTAATCAGGAGGACAGTAGATAGTGATTGACATTGCATTTAAATATCTGGAGATTAAAGTTAGCTGGAGCTGGCAGGGAGTTCCACAAGTGAGAAGTGTGAGAAAAGAGAGCATAGAACTGCAAATTGATGAGATCTAGATGCCATTTTAGTACTGTACTTAAATTCAAAAAGTTTATGTACCATCTGAACAATTACTATGAAAGTATTTATAGAAAAGGCACAAAGAGGATACCTTACGGTGATGGGGAATGGCTGAAGCCAAGCTGCCAGATCAGGACCTATAATATTGCTGATTCTTCTTTAGATTTTATCAAGAAGCTCAAGGTAAATAGCAGGGGCACCAGACCATATGTCGCAGCAATATTCTAAGCATGGATGAATGGTAGACTTATAGATATGCAAGATAGATTCTGGAGAGAAAAATTGTCTAGCACAACACACTGAACCAATTTTCTTAGCAGCTGACCTAGCAATGGACTCCATATAGTCTTTCCACTTTATGTCAGCTGAGAACGTCAGCCTGAAAAGGTGCAACTTTCCTGGTGGTTAACATTAGCCATGCAGAGAGAAGGCAGAGAGGGTGGGGTGGGGGCGTTTCTCAGATGATTGTTAGTATGTTATTTGAACATGAGTAAAATCTTGGAAAGTGAGCAGAACAAAATCCATTGAATGTTTATGAGGATTCTTTGCAGATTTTTCTACCAATGAATTTGTATATATATAAAAAAAATTAAACTCTGTCAAATGTTATTTGAAAGTAGAAGTTGATTTAATTGATGTATCTAGATTTGATAAGATCAAATTTACAATTAGTTGAAGTGATTCTTTCTTCTAAGATCAAGAAGAAAATAGGCTCAGTAATGAGGAAAAAAAATAGGACAAGAGCTTTAGTGAATTAAATCCCAATATTTGTGAATTTGTTGAAATAATAATAATCGTGGATAGTATAGACATAGACTCTATGGAAACAGAACAAACAATAAGCAAGTCATACTAAGAATAAAATAAAATATCTGTAGATATGGGCAATGGAATGAGAACAATCTATTTCCAAGTAGATTAAATAAAGGGTTCAGTTTTAAATTCCCTGATGTTTACCCACATTGACAGGCACCTGATGACAGAGGTCATTATAGCCAAAATGTTAAGGTAACAAACAATGAAGATGAGGACATTAGTCCAAATGTAAATAAAAGCAGAATGATAACAAAGAAAAGAACTGGACTGCAATTTGCAAGTGTCTCTTGTGTTCCTTTTGATTTAACTCTGTTTTTAAGAGATGTGTTTAGGCAAACTTAATTGACAATTGTATAAAAAGGATTGGATAAGATCATGCTAGAATTTATTATTTGATCAGTATATAGATTGCTTTGCTTTATATAGCAATCTTCTCCCACAATAGTTTCCAGGTCTTCTTGATCTGTGAGTAAGTGAATGAACACATACAAGTTTTCAGTGTATATATCAAATGTTTAGCTTATTCATAGCATGAAAAAATGAATCTATTTATTTTTAAATCAAACCAAATTTATTATAGAGAAACAATAAGGGTTGATTTTATGAATGATTTATGAATGACGGACAAAAAACTTCACCATGAAATGATATTGTTATTAGCTTGAACAAATATGAGGGCTGACCTGGCTCATTTCCAAAAATCTGACCAGATAATTTTTGGCAAGAACTTTTTATCACCCTTTCCCATACTTGTTTATGAAAATTTCCCTCTGTGTGTACATTATAGTATATGTCTTCCCCACACCAGTGTGGGGAACACACATACTCAGTCTGTCATGTTTTTGAATATATGTATATAGTTATATCTAGGTGTGTAGTATTTGTATAGGAACAGAAGTCTTGAATCTTTACTTTTTATGACTTTCTTTTTATTGCTACCTTTTCTCTGCCATCCAGAAACTTATGAAATTAACTATGTCTACTGTTTTTTTTCTTTCTGTGGCCTCATAATTTCAAACAGAATTATGTAAATAATCTTTAAAGCTTTTAGAGAATTTTATTAAAAAATTAGAATAACCATTATTTGGAAGTCTTGGTCACTCACATTCAACAAATAAGTGTGTGTGTGTGTATATATATATATATATATATATATAGTGGTGATTCTAGTTCATCAGTATTACTCAGGCACAGACCTGTCACCAGGGAACTGCTCTCACTGAAAATCATGTTGCCTCTTGTGAAAATGATATAAACAGATTTTGGTCTGTTAATTCTTACTCAGAACTTCCCAAAGTGCTCTTCCCAGTCAATACACCCTGGCAACAGATTTGTTCTGTCTCATTACAATTTTTAACAAAACTATACCTTCTATGATACTTAAACATACTATAGACATAATTTAGGGTCTAAGAAGGAATTTAGCATTTAACTAGACTATCTTTTAAATATAGGTATATCCAATTTTTGCTATGGAAATTTGGCACCCGAATAAAAAGAAAAACTATGAAACCTGTATAAAACTTAATTTTATCATAAACTTTTTTTTTCTGTTATTTGTCAAGGATTGTCAGATAATTTTGTTCAAGCTAAATCATGCACAATTTATCATTCTACATAAATGCATGGTAGTGTAATCCTAAGTCAAAATAATTTCTAGCCATTTTTTAAGGTGTTTATGCATATGTGTATATATGAGTGTATTTCTCTCTCTCACTCTCTCACAGTCATTCATTCCCTCTTCCTTGTCTGGCTGAATTGTGGCAATTGACATGCATACACCAAATATGCACACAAACACACCATTAGGATATTTTTTTTTTTTATTTGGGAAGTTTTTTTCACTGTTACTTTTTTTTTTTTTTTTTTAAATTATCTCATTTAACATTATAATGAACAGAAACAAATTCAAAGCCAAGATTTAAAGCTATGAAGTTGAAACAAAAATATATTCTTTGAAAAATAGCATTAAAATTGTTTGAGATTTTTTACAGATTATTTTTGATAGTTCAGCTTGAAATCTGACCGCCTGAGTCATACTCTTTAGAAGGATTTACTTATGGCCTTATTGGGCTGGGATTTGGGAGGACCCTGTGATCACTTGCCTCAATTATTTTTTCTTTTTTGTAACATTTTTATGAACACTTTGAACAAAATTTATTTAAACCATCAGTTTAGAGGATGAAGTTACAACTATAAAAAGTAGTAAATTAAAATGATTTGAGATTATTTTATTCTTGATTCTTCGTATCACAACTTTATATCCAACAGGATGAATGTCATGTTATGTATTTTTGCAGTTTTGAAACGGATACACCTGGCTGTTGGACTATTCTAGCTTAGCCTAACCTATAGATCCATATCTGATATATATTTACATGTCTACAGTCTATATGCTCTACCTAATTGCTATTACATGTGAATATTGATTTCTAGGATGAGGAGTTATTATTGTTTACATTATTTACATTATGGACTAATATCCTCATCTTTGTTGTTGTGTTT